TGTGTGTGTGTGTGGTGTCTCTCTCTCTCTCTCTCTCTCTCTCTCTCTCTCTCTCTCTCTCTCTCTCTCTCTCTCTCTCTCTCTCAGTTCACTCCGATTTTCAGATTTACAGTTGTGAGCGCTTCACTCACATATGATCTATCTACCCTCACAGGAATAATCTGCCTCTGACCTTTGCATTCTTTATTTTGGTTGCTTGTGGTTCTGCTGATTTAGGTATTAACCTTTATTCCACTGTTGCATATATTTAAATAAACATCTCAGAATACTGTAAGAGTAGGCTGCAGCTCTTCCTCTGTGTCTTCCTAATATACTGCTGTTAGCCTATACACTAAGACAGGCTATCTTAATCCTATCTCCTCTCTCTCTGTCTCTCCCTGTCTAATACAGGTGAACATCAGAGAGAAACCAGGGCAAACACAGTGGCAGCTTTTGAGGCCTGAGGTTGGTTCTGAAGTGTTTCAAACGCTCTTCTCTTTCCCACTGTCTTATCAAATGTATGCTGTATGGCAGTGGATGATGGGTTGATTTAAGCTTCCACTAGAAGAAGAGAATCTCATTCTAATTAAAATATATATTATTCTTCCCATTATTAATCTTGCAGAAAATATTTGAAATGTGTGATCAAGCTATTGTCAAAAATGCAAAAAAAAAATGCTAGAATTGATAATTAAAGGCTCTAATACAAATTGTTCAATGACTTTTTAGTGTGAAGTTGTACAAACCAAACATCGGAAAAATGTATATTATTATTATTATTATTTAAAAAAACCAAGCACTTATCTATATACTTATATATTTATAGCATTTGTTATAACTCAATTGGAGCACATATTTGGAACACAGCTTTGTTAGTAACAGATGACATTTGTGAGTGCAAAAGCATGCATTGCACCCTCATTTTAATACTTTGCACCCTCAGTTAAAATTATAATCATGAATGCCAAGTGCAAGGTGGTAGGTCGGCGCACGGACTATGTGGGGTTATTTATGCTTGCCCTCTATTTTGATTCATGTGTATGCAGCAGTTCAACATGCACAGGGCGGGGTGAAAGTGAATATAGATCAGCAGGCAGCTGTGGCAATCACAGTTAAACATGATAATGACAGCTCAGCAAATGAAAAGCTTTGCCTTAAGAAATGTCAGAGTCAAATCTGAACCCAAAGACAGTTTCATCAGTATTTTTCATCAGGTAGTGACTATAGTAACCACAAATAAAAAATAAAAAGTTTGATTTGGTAATTTGATTTTTGTGTGTCTTTTTTAGCAATAATTTAATGCATCTGACTTTGCACACGGTAACATACTTTAGTATGTATGTATTTATTAAAGTTATACAAGTGTTTGCACTGCAATGTGTTTTAAGGATAAAAAAATATTGAGTTATAACCAACCAGTCTGATGTGTGTAGAGGTATAGTTATACTGTAGCAGCCGGTTGTCATTTTCAGGTGATTCATTCAAGGCAAACACAGTGAACAACTGTGCGTAACGGCATTGCGCTCTGGCACAGCACTAAAGGCTGCACACAACATCAGTCCTGCTGCCTTTAGATGCTGCAAGGATTTCAACAACGTAAGGAGAAGCTTTTCATACAGTGTAAAGCAGCTGTGGACAGCAAACATTGAGAATTATCCACAATCATTCATAGATCAGCTGTGAATACTGTCTTTTAAAGGTTGCACGCTCAGTCATTTCAGAAGCATCCTAAGTCATTTCATTCTAGAAACAGGTCTGTGCATAAACTAAACTTTCTGGCACCTTTTCTTTTAAATGTATTCATTTTATTTACAGGAACACCCCGAGCATTATGTGTGCAATGATTCTACGAATTACCTCACACACAAACATTTCTTACTCATTCACATCACGCAAACACACCCACATTCTGAACATATTGTAAATCTGTCACACGTGTGACAAACACAGCATCTCTCCGACCCTGAACCCCATCTGTCATATGTTTTTTGTATCTGTTTTTTGTGATTTGTGTGTGTTTGTGACGTATGTGTGTCATATGAGTATACTATGTGTGCGTGCATGTGTGTGTATGCGTAAGAGAGAGTGTGTTTGATGAAGTGCTCAAGCTAAATCATTTAACAAGAAATGAGGCAGAGCAGCCCAACCGAAATTACGCACTGAACAGGGATATGACAAAGTGCAACGGTGTGAATACATAGTATAAACTTCAGTGATTAGCTTGTGTGTCTGTGTGTCTGTGTGTTTGTGCGTGAGAGAGAGAGTGTGCATATGTTTGTGTGAGTGACAAAGAATTTTGTCCTTCTGGTACTATTTAGAATAGATTTAAGTGAGCAAAGTGTTTCAAGTCCTTGCTTTCTACAGAAATCCCCTGTCGAACAGTCCTGCACATTTGTTGTTTACCTAAACGATGACCTGTGGCTTCCCTCCCAGAAACTGTAGATAAAACACTACACAGACACACACACACAAACCACACACACCACACCCACACACACACATACACAAAATGAGGACACATCCTGTCAAATTATCCAAATAAACTCGGGTAAAAGTTGAGTTTTACTGCACTCTGGAGACGATTATACATGATTTATCCCTAAGTCAGTGTTAGTGTTGCTACAAACAGATTTTGGCTTTGGTTTATTAATGACTGCTGGATCACTGATCTTTCAAGTCATCTCAGATGCTATTTTTATACAGTTACTGTTTATTTATGGGCCCTCAATTTTTCGTTTTAGTGCGTTCAGAAACTGCTGGGCAGCCCAGCCCCCTGTTCTGTTGCCATTCTCTTTTCTTTCTCCCTCTCTCTCACTGCTCCCATGGCACTGCTGTAGGAAGTGATTAACTCTTCTCACTGCAGTTTGATGAAAAAACACAGTTTCAAAAACACACACACAAATGCACACTCACACAAAAACAAACATGCACGTGTACCCACGCCCGTAACTTCTATACAGTTGAAAAGTGTGTTTCAAAATGCTCTCATTACTTCAAGACTTCAAAGCAAACAAGTCTTTGCCAACACAGCTCAAACTGACTCATTATTGACCCAACATTTTTCTCCTTTTTCCAAAACTACACACAAAGTCACACACACTCTAGCGTGCTCATTTTTAAACTGCAAAAATTTCAAGAATTCACCTCACTTTCTTTCCTCACTTCCCCCCTTGCTGCTCTCTTTTCTTCCCCCTTTGCTTTCGCTCACAAACATTTTGCAGAGACACCCGACTCGACTTTCGTCTAAATTGTATGCTAATCCATGTTTGGATTGGAGGCTAACAGGATTTTTGCTGCACGCAACACCCATGACCTAATACGTAATACAGAGAAACTAGGCGTAAAGTCACTTATTTCGAGCTCTGGACTTGGGTGATAAAGTCAAAGTGTGGATCCTCAAACGCAACAATTTCCACAGTGATAAAATGGTTTGTCACTAGCCAGACTGTGTTCATGCAATTTAAGAAGTAAACAGTAAGGTATAGTGTCTATCAGCATTTAAAAGTATTTGACTCTATATGGCATAATGCAGCAGCATAACTAACTGAACTGCTAATCATTTAAATTGTCTGTGCTACATTTAATGAAGGTTGTCCTGGATGACAGCAACATTTTAACTGCATTACAAGATCTTGATCATTCAAAGATTATGATGAAGTACGGGTGGATGCGTTAGAATGAAACTGGGGATGTTACAACAAGGCAGACTGCAGATGATATCTGGTTTCAGTTTTAGGATGACGGATGAGGTTTTTTGCTGCTGTTGTGGAGTGAAAAAGTCTATTTTGAAAAAGTAATGTTTCTTTTTCTATTGAATTAACTGAACATCATATTGGATCAAATGAGAACGATTCAAAACTCATTTTGTTGTTTCAAAATGTGCAGCCATCAATCTTAAGCAAGTTGTTTCCTTCCTTTAATAACCGTCTTTATTAAATCTAGTTGGAAAAAGGGCCCTTGTATATAAACAAATAAATAAATAATCCAAAACAATGAAGCCACCTTTGTCGGGCCGGCCTGCCGTGTAAAGCCAATGTCCTTCGCGTCTGATCACTGGAGTGTTATGCCATCCAGTCGAGTGTAATGCTATCCAGTGGCAATGATTAGAGAAGTGTGAAGCAGATGAGGCTCCAAGGGGCCACATGGGGATACTGTTCAGTGTAATACTGGGGATGTGAGGATGACGAATGAAGAGAGGGACACAGTCGTCAGGATAAGGCGAGGACGGACTGATGCCATGGGGCGGCCTGTCCTGAAGTGACTGCAGCAACAGTCAGAAGTCTTGGACTCTGACAAAGAGCCCACTGCAAAATCAGTACACAAGGACGTAAGGAGTTAGGAGTCACTGCTTTTGTTTGTCTCTCAAAACAGGTGGAAAAAAACGTCATTTTCATTTTTTTCCACTATTTTCTAATGCATTCACACTTTAAAAGACGTTTCTTTATACATTATATGTTTCATTATGAGGAAGAACAACAGCTCGCTCTAGTTGGTTGAGTTGTTGTTGGTTTTTTGAGGTTTGACAACACCTTCTCACTTGAAATTCAAGAGGGAAATCAGAGTTTATCATCTGAGGAATATAACACAAAATAAAAGGACTTGTTGAGGTGAATCAGGGTGCAGCTGATTAATATGAATAATGAATATTTAGAAGGATAGTTTACTATACAGATATGCAGCGAAATGGAACACTTCTACAAACGAGGGCTTCAGAAGGTAGCCAATTTCAGCTGATCATTATAAGCATCACAAAAGTATCATTTGTCACAGGGCTTGCATTGTATAGCATTAGATTACATACTGTGTGTTTTTACAATTGTTCACACAAGCATGCAGCTCAAATACATCATCAGTTTCATTCTCCTTTTTTCTCTCCTAACAGAGACGAAAAGGACACTTTGAAAGCCAAGGACACCTTCCTGGAATATGTTACTTAAAATGTGCGAATATCTCACTGAAACTTGTTGATTACGCTGCTGAAGTTTGAGCATGCTGAATGGCAGATAACCTTGGTGGCAGATATTCACTCAACACTCAACACTCATTACTGACGAGTGAAAGGAACAGAACAACTGTCATTACTTTTAATCAAGTTGCGAGTGTGTGCGGGTATTTGTCATTTGAAAAGAAACAAAGGAGCCGGAGGAGGGGGAGAATGGGTTTTCTTTTGTGCGTGCGAACGAAAGAGAGAGATAAAAGAGAGTGTCTGAGTGAGAGCAGCGCACACACCAATCAGCATATCTCTAGACCGTATATGTTTTTCTCACTTCTTGCTTGTTTGTGTCATTCTGCGACAACGTACCAACTGTATTAATGAGCTACACTTTCCTGGTAGTCAGCAGCTTTAACATCATTCAGTCTTCATGATGGGCTAAAAAAACAACTAGCACCAATGTTAGCTTGTGTGTATGTAGTTACTGATCCTCTTGCCCCCTGTAAACACTGTTGCTCAGTTGTGATGATGACCAGCAGAACCTCATTATTCTTTTGTTTGGACGTGGTTATGACTGACCTCAAGGCAACAATAGTGCACATATACTGCACAAGATACAACCTAAAGCCATACACAAATAATATAAATTTGTCTTATGTTATAAATATTCCCACATACACACTTGGTTACACACTGAAAATATAAACTCTAAGCTTTTATGTAAACACACCTACGTAGTGCCATAAACCACACAGGCTACAGTGGCAAGTCTCCAAACTAATATCTGCTGAATAAACATATGATACACTGAGGTTGTTTAGAATGGTCTACCTTGTTGATTTAATGATAAAATGAACTTCCTTCTCTGCCAGTTACTTTATCTTTCCTTCAAAGTGATTTGTAGGCTACACTGGTGTAATTACTCAACCTCCTCAGGACTCATGGAACTGAACCATTGCCTGAACTGAACCTTCCAATGTAGCTAGTGCTTGGTTCATATATTACGTAGCTTTTACATATGAATTATATCTATGTCACCTATACTAGCTGTGGTATGGACTGGTTTGTGTCCTGTTCCCAGTGATGCTTAGGGTAATAATAAATGCATCCCACAAAATTTAAATCAAGCCTAGTTTCAGTAATACATATGATAGTATCATTTGTTTTATACTTTGTGAACAGCAAATCAATACCATAAACAACATAAACTGCTGACTGATAACGGTAGCCAGTAGCAAGCATTGTCAATGTCTGGCTAAGCTGTCGATTTTAGGGTGGAATTAGCGAAGCTTAGCAGCTGGTTAAGCCAGGGAGATTCACTGAGTCTGGGAGACAACAGCCAATCCTGACAAAGATTAGCCCTGACCAGAAAACAACGTACAATTCAGCCAGTGAGGTTTCAGCTGGGTATCCAAGAACATAAAGGTCAAACCAAAATCTTCAGCTGCCCAAATACCAAAGCTTACCGTTCAGAATAAATGATAAATGATTTTTGCAATTGCTTCATTAAACAGTTTAAGTAGAATCCTCTTCAACACCTGCCTCAGTGAAAGTGAACAGCCCCCATCCTAAACTACTTTCTCAGATAATTCATTCCAATTTACCTTATATAGTAATTAAATTTTTAATTATAAAGTTGATCTGTCAGAAAACTAATATAATTAACACAAGTGCTAATGCCAGACGATTTAATATCTAGCCTTTTCCGCCAAAAGCTTGTTACATTTCTCTCTCCTTCATAACACTGGTATATCCACACATAATATATATTTTTAAACAATTTTACAATTTATCACATCATTTGCTCTACATCAAAGATGAGATCTGCAAAGCACTAATGAATTAGTGATGCCAATTTTATCACAGCAGTATGCTTCAAGCAAGATATCTGATAATGTGAAGATGGGGTTTATTGCACTGTTTTAGAATAATATTTTAGATTTACAATACCATTACAACTTTTGATTTCATATTCACACAAAATAAATCATACAACAAACTTAACTGTGATTAGTTATTAGTATTATGTAATATGCATACAGTAGACCAGTCACATAATGAGTGGATTCTTGCAAATATGGATGTCACATTAAATCTTTATCTACTGTGGGTCTCATGTCTTCAGCCAGTAGACATATTTGACCATACATGACGTTGGTAAATAGAAAATAAATGTTTATCTTGGAGATACTATATGTGTTTGACAATAGGTAGTGGGGTTGTATTACATCCTACCTTCTTGTAGAGGGAACGCAGGTCTCTGTACTGCCACATACTGCTGAGGACCTGAGAGGCTGCCTTCACCACCTTTGCTGAGTGTCTGTAGAAAGATAGAGAAAGAGAGAGAGAGTTATTTCTCTAGGACCTCATTCGTTTGGATAATGTTGCTATGTTATTCTGTCCCCTGTCCTTACCAGCTGCACAAGATGTGTGCAGGACAGTGGCACTTGTGATGGCTTTAAGAGTAAGAGGGCCATTGCTCTTCTCAGCAGAGAATGATTTTCCCTGCACAAAAACTGAGAGTTGCCAGATGAGTTTAAAATGACCCTCTCTGCCATGCTAATGGCCCCATCCCTGCCACTTAGCTGAAAAATGACTCTAGTAGGAGTCAGTTCATAAGCCCTGCCCTTTGAACAGCTACAGAGGGAAGCAGACGGGATGCTCGTTTTCCATTTTCCTCCACCAAAATGAACAGAAATTATTTAAAAAACAAAGGGGTTTTCCCCAATTAAAAGAACAGAAAAAGTTTCAGAGACTGAAATATGGGGTAATGGTATCAGCAGGAAGCCACTGCACCAGCCTGCTACAAACACAATGCACTGGAAGGTCATAATTACACATGAATAAAGTGATCCCAAGGAAATATTTTGGGGATTGGGGTTGCTGTTTGTAAAATAGGAATGTGTTTTAGCATTTACTGTTTCAAAGGTATAGGTCATAAACCCCTTTTCACTTTATTCTATTTTTCTCCTACTGTTTCAAACTAGCTAGTAAACAGTGGCTACCTGTGGTAGAACTATAATGGGCATTTTCCCAATCTGAAAGTGTGTAATAGTGTGAATGTAGCGCGGCACTGCTGATAAGGAGCATTTATTGTCAGTGTACCCTTCCTGAGTTAATGAAGATGTGTGGGCTATTAGCAGCTAACTACACTCCTTGTGAAATTTGGACTTATGAAGGTTTCTTCCAGCACCTCATCTCTCGCCGTAATGGTACCCTTGAGGGCAGTTCCCTAAATAGTCAGAGTGTCTCTCTATAACAATAAATGAACGTTTGACCTCTGTCTGATAACACTCTGGTGTCATGACAACCCCTGACCTACTGGTTACCATAGCAGCTAGGCAGAACACCATGTGTCTCCAATGGTGACAGGAGTGACAGGAGTTATATCCCTGCTGGGTCTTCCTTGTTCTTCTCCAGCTGTCTTTTGTGGATGAATGGTCACAGGAAAGGCAGGCACAGTTCTGAATGATGGATGTGTGGTCACATTAAGGCACTGGTCTCTACTGACAGTACAGGGTGTGTTCGATGATGCCTTGACAGGTATAGCACAATAGTGCAAATCTATTTTGCTTTTTTTTCTGGCCTTTACATAACATTTTAGGATTTCAGCAGTTATTCAGATCTGGTTGCCCTTGAGCATGAGGAAAGCCCCTGCAAGTCATTAGGGATCTTTCTCATTGTCCCCTTACTTATTTCAGGATTATTTTGGCGACAGAGCATCACTCTCTCTCCGAGACATATGTGAATGACTCAAACAAAGAAATGTGGATGTACAATGCGGTATTAAGTACACTTTTTTCTCATTGTTTATGTTATGAGAGTTACAAAGGGTTTTTCACATTTCCTGAGCTGAAAATTATCCCTGCTTAAATCTGGAGGAAGGTTAAGCACAAATCATCATTATGATCTAATAACCACTTCAACAACAGCACAGATAAATCTGTTCTGTGGTTTTAAATACACATGACATACTTTCCCATAAACTGTTAAAATATATCATTATCCACAGATTTTTAATAGCGCCCTTGGAGGATTTCTGCTGAACCCAATTTGAGACTCCAGCAAATGCATTTCAAGTGAAGTTAAGTCATATGGGTGGGATCTATGGTGCTACTGTAGCTCATACTGCAAATGTAGCAGGATTTATTTCAGTCTCAAAACTTTGGCCTACTCACTTGTCTCCTTTGCTTCGGGCGATGCCGATGAGTTTTTCTATGCCACCAGCATCACGCAGGGCTTTGGCGTTTTCCATGTTCTTGGTGATGACTTCGTGCAGTGCACAGCAGATGGCAGTTACTGTGTCATCTGACATGGCCTTGCTGGGAGGTCCTGTGGTCCCGCAGGTCCCACTGCTGGTGGCATTATTGTTGCTGCTGCTACTACTGCCTGGTAACCGATGGATCAAATCTCTCATGGCATATTTACCTGGTGGGTGTGGAGAAAATGAAGAAAAGGGACAACAAATATTGGTCAAATATTATTGTCTGCACATCCTCCTGTGTAAAGCCAATTTAGTTGGAAACATCTTGAAAGGTTGTTGTAAAAATTGCCTTTGGATGGATTTTGGTGAACAATTGAAGGGACAGATATAGAGGCTACTGGGCTCAGCTTTGACAACATGAACATATAATTTCCCATTTACAGTCTGAAAAAACTTCTAGTGGGGGTGAGGGTTTATATTTTCTACGGTAGTTGTCATACCCATGCAAAGTGATGATTTTAGACAGCATTTATGTTGAGTGTGGTTATGGACGACTGGTACAAAAATCCATACAATCACCTCAATAATATACATCTCTATGACATAAAACTAATATTGCCCTTTTACTGTCTTTTGAAGCAAACGTCTTGTATGTCAAGTGAGTGGTTTGGATACCTCCATAAAGCTTGAGTTTGAGATGGCACACTGCAAATCCTCTGACACACACACACACACACTAATGCAGACATGCTGAGAATCCAATAAAAGGGGCGACCCGTGGTATTTCGGTGAAAAGGCTGGCATATGAAGAAAATGAAAAAAGAAATTGACATTCAAAGAATGGGCTGTTGGATAAATCGAAACAACAGAGAGAGGGAGTAATTAAGAAGTGCAGGAGATGCTGTCAGATAGGAAACCCATAAACTCAGTTACTGAGAGGCTGGAGCATATGGAAGCAATAACATTTGGAGTGAAGGGGAGTTTAAAGCAAAGTGGTGTGAGTATAGATTTCAAAGAGGGAATGACGGACAGAGAGGACAAAACCACCATGTAATCTGCGCTCACCCACACACTAAGGTGGTCTAGGTAACCCTTATATTTCTTGTAATAACTGTTAGTTAATAGACCCTTATAAGATGCTTATAAGATTATTATATGTTAATAAGATAGCTTTTAATAATAACCTAAACATATCTATTGTTTATTGCTATAAAACATTTACAAGCACTTTTAAAAAATGTATTACAACTTACTTAGACTGCACATTTATTGAGTTTAACTACTTACTTATAATGCCATTGTTAAACCTTTACTAAGCTGTTGTTGCTTTATTAAGATTTCAACACACTTTTCAATTCATGTATTAGCAGTTAACTATGTACTAATATTGATTGTTTTAGTTGAGGTAAGAGTAGTTTGTGTATATTTAGATGCCAACATTTACATATATTTACTTTATTTTACTTTTTTGGATATTATTTTACCCTTACATTAATCAGGAGACTTCTGCTTTTTCCTGCAGTGTTTCTGAGTCAACTACTCACAGTGGAGTTTCCCATGAGAGTGAGATCACCGGAAATTAAGATGACTGAGGTGAGGGTTCAATAAAGGAGAGATCAGAGCAAACAGATAATGGAAGTGGAAGAATGTAAGACAGGAGAGAAATTGCAAAGATGAGAGGAAAGAGGTGATTGTGCTGACTGAGGTGGTGTGTGGAAATTTATCAAACAAGAGCAGCAGTCACAGGGTAAGAAATGCCTTGACCATCATAAAACATGTCAATCACACTTGAATCATCTTGAGCTCCTGGGATGAAACCCACAGGTCATGTTCCAGGTAAAGAATCAATTTGGATGCAGAAGTGGTAGTTGAACAATGAATCAGGGCTGAAATTAGGTTAATTTTAAACTAAATCCACTCAATAGCAGATTAGGATTAGTCTTCTTACCCTGATAAACACTAAAAGGTACACTTCAATCAATTGAGCATCTCCACAAAAATGAATTTGTCTGTCCTCTCTGACACGTTGCTGGGTAAAAGCGTGCCATTTAAAATGGTATGCCAGTTTGTGTGTGTATACGACACTCAAGAGCTGTTCAGTGTGACTCACTATCTCCTTCTAAATTTTTACAAATGGAAGTCCTCCACAGAAGTGCTGGATCAGATAAAGTAGATAAAAACAGGAAGTGCTACTGTAAGTGTTAAATCCACTGTCAAATCACCTGCAAGTGGACCATTACATCCTCTCAGGCAGCCGAGAAAACTGAGGCCAAAATACTCAATTTGCAATGAATGCAAAATACTTTTGGATTTCACAGACAGTTTGTTCACCGGTTGTAAAATAATGTCTCTAAACAACTCATTTTCCCCGCAACAGTACAAAACAACCAAATACCTATCTAGCTCGGCATGGTCTAATCTTCTGCAGGCCATGCTGCTTCTTTGAATTCATAAAATCCTGCTGAAAAATAAAAGTAAGAACAAAACATCCTTGTGGGGTACAGATTTGGTCCTTTGCTTGTAGAAGACTACCAGAACTAAAATCCCCTTTTCCTATATTTCTTCTTTTCTCCGTTTACTCCTTTCCTACCATTTTTCAAACATTCTTCACTTCTTTATAACTTCGTCTTTCGTTTCTCCCAGACCATTCCATCACTGTGATATCCAAGGAGCCCTTACTGGCTGGTGGTAAATCCTTTGCTCATATTACCTCTAATAAGTCTAAGTGATCTGGGAAGAGCTGAGAACAGCAGAGCAATACACAGAGCAGGAGAGTTGAGATGAGATCAGATGACACTATCAACCTTCATAATGCAAGCTAACACACACACACACACACACAACAATGCACGGTTACACACATGCCCTTGTAGAACAAACACACTTATGTTTAGGCTCATGAAGACACATATGGAAGCTTATATGCACACACATATATGCATAAAAGCACATACAGACATGCACACACACACACACACACACACACACACACACACACACGGATAGAGTTGTGAGTTAATTGGTCAAGTGTTATCTCAACACAGAGGTTAAGCGGCCATTGTCTTTTGGCTGTGAGGACAAAGTTAAGTGGCAGTATTCTAAGAGGAAGACTTATTATTTGACTGACTTGAATCAGACTAACTAATCTCCTGACTGATTTACTGGCTGATGACTGACTGATTAATTTACTTTCTTCATGATTTAATGATGTGACTAATTTTTGAGTGAGTGACTAAATTATTTACTGACTGACTGCATAACTAAATTACTGACTGGCTAATTTACTGACTGACTGCCAGATAATTTACTGCTTGAATGACTGACAATTTATTGATTTACTGACTGACTGACTAATTTATGAACTGACTAACTGTAGAGACTCCAGTAATATCAAAAGGAGGGTGAAGAGTTTACACAAAGATGTTGAAACTATTAAAGACATTTCCGTCTGTGTCTGTCTAGGTATTTTCTGCTTACAGACAGATGCTCTAATAAACTGCTATCAGCATATCCCTAAAATATGCTTGCGTGTGTGTGTTTGTGTACACAGGTGCGTGCATGCATATTCTTATCAGTCTGCAGCATCATCACATTCATCCCACAGGGGAGCGAGTGCGGAACGGAGAAGATGATATGGGAGGAGACAGAGGAAGAGAGGTCAAAAAAAGGATTGGGGAACTGCGTGGTAGTCACCCATGTTTGAGAGAGGAAAGAAGAAAAGCAGGAAACAGAAATGGAGCAGGAAAAAATTACTTAAGGACAGAGAAACTGAGGAAAGAAAGAAAGTTTAGCCTACATGTACACATTCGCGTATGTTGACAACATCTTGATAGCTGAAGAATCAAAAGCAGAGGCCCTCGTTATTTCCAACCCTTTTAATAACACACCTTGTTAGAGGGAAATGCTGCCTCCTGATAATCACTGGGTGCTAAGAAACATGACTGAAACCCTCACACACACACACACACACACACCTCACCTTGACAATACACACACATACAGCAATGCACGCACACCAATACACATCTCATCTGAACATACACATTGCTCATTATCTAGCTTTCCGGTTGTTTGCTTCAGTTTTTGGTTTGTTTGTTTTGTTTTGGGATATTTATTCTAAGTTGTTTGTTTTGATGTAAGATGTTTTTATAACAGACTTGAGATTTTTTTTATGACAATTTCACAATGTCATATTTTCTCTCTTGATGGTTTTACTGTATCTATTATCATCTCAAAGAGTTTTATTATGGAATAAATATTAATGTTGTATACAGAAATAAATAGCAAAGACTATTGCTAAAAGTAAACTAAAGTAAAGCTGGGCTCAGACAACACTTGAGTCAAACAAAATCTACCCTCTTCCCTACATCCAGACACTCCAATACCCAGAGCCTGCAAAAAGTGTATTGATGAATTATAGATTAATATAAATGAGAGGGAGTTGCTGCACTTTCCTAACGTCAATGCAAAATTCAACACATTTTAAAAGCTACATCTTTTGATGTGCTCATTACCCTGATGAAGACATTTTTTCAAAACATTGGGTTTTAATTTCCAATAAATATACAGTTTATTTCTTGAGGCCATGTTAAAGTTTTAGTTATTAAGTCGACAAATGAATGACTGTATAAGAATGAGTACAGCTGTATAAAAGTATAATCAATCAGTATGTTGTGCTAAGTACATTGAGGGGCCAAGATTAGTGTCAAAGCCGGGAGCTTCATGTAACAATTATTAAGGTGAGGTAACCTCACAGTGGTCATAGGTAGTCATACAGGAAGAAAGAACTAATTGAGGTGCAAATCGAGATGGATCTTTTATGAGTGGGTGGCCACTCCTTCTACCTAAAAGTTCTACTGTGACACAGACAGCACCTCTACATGCTGGAGTACAAGCTCCCCTCTCCTCCTTTCTTTGTCACTGAAATGTGAGCTACACCTGGAACATGTCCTCAAGGAGAGAAACAAGCCTTGTGCTGATCACTGCACAGTCTAATAAACCTGTATTACACAACTCCTCCAATATAGCCATCTTCACCTGGGAGGCAGAGCTGGTAATATATTCCTACGCTGCATTCCCTCATGTGTCGCTAACTCCCGCTGAGCAGGGCGTGCTTCATCAGGGCCATAATGGCTGATTTGATTTAAAGAGATCCAATTACCCTCAACAATGGAGTGATTTGATTGTTTACTGACGGAGAAGGGAGAGTGTTATTGAAGTAAAA